ATCCGCGCAAATCTGTTGCCCGGATATCATCGAGGAAGATTGTTCTGATCGCGGCGGGCCACGTGAATCCGACTTGACCATTACAGATTGATCTACATTGCTGTTATTGCTCCATGTACATGCTCGACTCTCTGATAAATTGGCCGAAGCCAACGGTAGGTCTTTAATAGTCGATCTACCTGCGAAAGTTCGTACATCTGTAGCATGCCGATTTCCTGATGACACTATAGATTTATCTGTCATTGGAATCGCGTGTCCGTTCACTAAAATACTTGAGGAAACGCTGCTACTATTAGCGCTACTACCGACATTGCCACTCGATGTACTATCTGTATTCGAGATTGTAGTAGACAGTCCAATGTTTTTGTTGCTGTTTGCTTGGCTGTTTCCACCACTATAATTGGGACTAAGGTGAATGTTCGCCAAACCACGATATATAGATGGTGCAAGATTCTCTGAGCTATGTAATCTCATGCGCGCACGAACTCCACCATTGAGAATGCTTCGGTTATTGATTGTATCATTTGTGGCACCTAAAATAATATTTGAATAGATACTTGAATTTGAATAGAAAAAAAAAAGAAAGAAAATTGTGACAACACATATTCTTTCAATTTCTTTTAACACGTTCTATGCTAGGCTAATTTTAACCGAATTTGACTTCATCACCATGCCGCTTAGGTTGCACGCTGATATTTTTGTTTGGATTTGTTTTTATTTATTAAATAAAATATATTTCACATGATTGAAAAAATACAAAAATTATTATTAAGAAGATAGTTTAATGTACTAGAAGATTATAAAGAAGATAATCTAATATATTGCATCATACAGCATAATTATGTATATCAAAAATTACTTCAGAATAATGTTTTTTTTTATATCCTATTTATAACCAAAATATCAAGCTTAAACGATAAGTCCAATGATCTCAGGTAATCCACGGTATAGAACATGTTAAACAAACTTCTATTATAGATATTAAAATATTATTTTCAAAGTTTTTTTTATATTAATCGCTGTAATATTATTCTTACCATCAGATTGTATTTGGCAAGATGGTTCAATAACATTTACTGGCATCTCATTAGTGGTATCAATTCTAAGTCCATCAAATACCGTTATCAATTCACCAACTTTGCATAGTTGAGAATCATGCTTGCTCTCACTCATTAAGTCAAATGTTAATTCTAAATTTTCTAGTTTTCCATTATAATGCGATAACACTTGGAACAGGTTTATTCGTTTTTCCCCTATTAATGTATCTTTGCGAAATGTACTATGGTCAAGTAATCGAAAGTGCAACTGAGAATATGGTGTAACAAGTATAGTAAATTCTTCGTTCCATTTCGGTTGATATGTAGACTTTGATACTTCTGTTTTGCGAGGACTTTTATCATCGACTGAAAATTCTATATATGGATTAGGCTTTAAAAAGGTTGAACTTCTCAATATTGCTCCTTCAACTGAAATAATCGAATATCATTATTAATATAAATAAAACAATTGTACAACATTGATTGCACTACATCGATTTATAATTTAATAAAATAATTTTTAATTTTACAAAAATAAAATATTGAATATAAAATATATTATTTTAAATATGTAAATAATATGTATCATTATTTTACATTTATTTTATATTTTATTAAGTAGATATGTACATATAATAAAATATTACGAAACAAAACATTATGTAACAAAAGAAAATATTTAGTTAACAGTTAACAAGCAAATATAATTTCATAAAGATAAGAAAACATTTGATTGAAGATGATGAAGAATATAAGAACAGAATTTAGAATAAAAAGTAATAACGGTAACATATATAATAATGCTATAAATTTTTCTTTCCACTTCTTTTTCACTGTACAATTCTTCTAGATATAAACAAATTTAAAAAAAAATTCTGGTTGAATTATATTCCTTTTGATAAAACAGAACATTTTAATAAATATAGGTTAAAAATATTCTTTAGTCTTTCTCATCTGGAATTTCATAGGTACAACTTACTTGTAATACTCAGTTGGTGAAAACCAGGAGATGCTGTATCTTCCTCGCAATGAGACATTGTAAAAAATTTATTGCAATTCAAGATGACACTATTTTAAAGAATTCATAATATTCTCACTCTCTTGTGATATCTGCAATGTACGCACAATAGGTTCTAGAAGTACAGTGAACTATAAAGGTTAACTATATTTATAATATCAATTGGTAAATAATTACATATATCTGCATGTAATTTGCTGCATATATATATATATACATATATATATATATATATTAGCATAAAAAATTAATCATTTGAAAAAATATAATTGTGCTTTTGTTATTTTGAAGAACAATGTACTCAGTATAATTATATAATACATTCAATCTAATCTAGTCTTAACAAATTCGGCAAACTCAAGTACATAAAAACGAAGAATTTAAAAGTATGCAGAAATAGAATTTTTCGGTCACTACGTCGCTATATACGCGACAACTTTACACTGAACTTCAGCTACGACCAATTTTTTTTCCAATTGAAATTATTTACGTACGAGGTATAGTACATATGTACAAGGGATTATCACCAAGACTTTACAACACAAGTCATCGAGCTGTCACTCCACAAGCTGCGAACTTCGTCTACATGTAACATTGTACGTTAGCTATCAATATTAGCAAATACGAACCGAAATTGGTGTCTCCGACCGCTCACAATATCTTGAGCGCCGATCCGCTGTTCATTACACACTGGACTGACGATCTTATCGCGACAAGGACAAATGGAAATATTCAAGATCTGCGTTATCAAACCTCGCTATCGGTCGGTCACCATCTTTTTATACGTCAAATGTAGTCTCTTTATGTATCATACGAGAGTATAACTGCAATCATTGCAGATGATCATAATTGAAAATAGCTCAACGATCCGACGGATCTTCATGTGAAATTATATACGAGCTATATTTTCACTAGTGTGACATTACAGCACATACAGCACACGTACTTGAATCACGCAAGTCAGTCAGCACTAGTTTATATCGTACATACATGCATACACTTGATACGGAAGACACTAGTAACTTTCTATTGAGTTATCTCGATTTCGACGATACGTGTAAACATATACATGATATGTGTATTTAATTAATCATTTCCATGTATATTGTACCAATTCAGTGCATCGGTCTTTAAAAACATGCTAAAATTAAAATAATTTAATAGAAAATTACTACTTGGGCTATGTTCCAAAATTGACTCAGAGTAGGTCTGTTCGCGTTGCAAGAAATCCCCAAATATCTTTGCTTAAAATGAGATAGATATATATTTGGCTTTAAAATGAGAGAAAGCGAAGATACCGAGTGCAAAAAGTGCGGGCAACGCGAACAAAACTAAATACTCGGTGTAAAAGGGGTAAAAGACACCGAGCGCCGATTGTGAAAAACTGGTAATAATGAGAGTAAATTTTATTCTCATTGCCCATTTTTCATCAATCAAAGCTCGGTGTCAAAGCGCCCATGTGGTGTCTGCATAAGGATCCGGTAGATAATGGGCGAGTTCATGATGGTAAAACCGGTAGGCACGCTTGCCAAGCGAATGAGCATAATTGGTTCTTACCTGCGGATCCAACCAATCATGTTTAATTGCTTGGTGAGTAGACCTAAGGTTTGTTTGCGTCTACTATAGCATTTAGGGTGCGGTCCACTTGGCGCTACAAACGCTTCGGAAGCATTTGACTGACCAATCAGAAGAAAGAATTTCACTAATTGACCAATCAAAAAATGCTTGCGAGGGCTCCGATTGCACACGTCGCATATTGCACACATGTATCGCTGATTGGCCAATTTAAAAATAAAATAATTTCATTGGCAAAACAGTAAAAAATTACTGGCACCAGTTGATACGAGTTGTGTGTACAATCAGAACTGTAGGCAAACGGGATCCTCCCGAGCTATAACAGGAACACATTGGAGCATGTTGGAGCATGTTGGAGCATGCGACGCGAACAAACCTTTAGCCGCTTTGTTGACTTCAACGCGCCCAATACGACCAATCAGGGTGCTGTTCTATGATGTTTGGAATTTTGGGAAACAAAATCTTGTAAGAGTAAACAGATTAGCGCGTTATATATAAACGACAGTGTATGTGTATGGAATATTTCATCATTTGAATATTACTTTGACATTATGGAAATATTTCGAGAGAAATCGGAATATTCTTGGAGCGTTACTTTGGCATTTTAATATTATTTTACAAATATTTAAAAAATATTTATGTAGCATTAATTCAGCTTTGCTCTACTATTATTTTTTTCCCTCCAAAAAATCCAAATTTTTGTCTGGTATGTCTTTATTTGCCGCATTTCTTTTCAAAATGTTCAATTGGATTATTTAAAATAAGATATCCTATAAAACTCGGGCTACAAAGGACCCCGCACAAAATCATAGGATTTTGACCCTCGGTGAAATTGGCTGAAATTTTAATATGTTATAGTTCTTGACTCACTGATCAAAAGTGTCCATAGGCACAAATCCTGAAAATAACTAGTTTTTTTTGTTGTAGCCATTTAAAGTTTTATTTTACTAATGCCTCAAAATCAGGTTTCTATAATAAATAAAAGAGATTTTAAATAACAAAAAAACTAGTCATTTTAGCCCCTGGGGCTCTATTCTTGAAAAGAACCGTATACGAAAGTCTAGGGAAATGCTACAGTATACGTTACGTATACTATAGTATTTCCCTAGACTTTCGTATACATTTCTTTTCAAGAATAGAGCCCCTGAATTTAAACGTAGTACGTATGTACGAATGGTCGCGTTCAGCAGACTCGACTGTAGCGGAGCAGATCCGTGGGCGGTCGCTGCTATTGGATGATTTAAAAGAATACACCAATAACAGCGAGCGCTTACTGATCTATTTTGCAACAGTTGAGTTCAAGGTCGCTCGATGATCCTTCGCAAGATGAGGATCTGAATATTCCGAATGCCAGCGCATGCGTACGAATGCACTCCTTGAGGGTGAGTTGGGGTGAGTTTACGGGGTGGATAATGTACGCACGTATACAGTGAGATAAATCGTGAGGGAGACGTTGTATTAACATGCATTGACAAATTATTCATCGTTTGTTGATCTGCCTCAGTCTCATTGTGACTTATCTCTCCGGGGTTAATTCGCTGCGTGTTTTGGTTAAAGCATAATGTAATGCCGCACGGATAGGGGTGAGTGTATTCAACACGTCTTACCATATGTTCAATCTGCGATACATATACATCTATATCATTTCCAGAAGAGCGCATTTTCGTGCTTCTTACAAGTATTGTAAATTAAAGAATTCGTTTTTGTGTGTACAAATGTAATGACGCGGATTACAGGCGATTTTTTTTACAAATCCGCTTATATACACCATTTATTAAGTGTGACTTAATTATAGTTACTCTTTCTCTTCTAATTATAGTCTTACGTATTATAAAAAAATTGTTAAAATTACTATCGATTTTGGGATTTTGAATATGCAATGTGCGCAACCTTTCTTAAACTGAAGGCTATTTTTATGTATAGGCAAAATTTTTCAGGCCGCATAATGCCGTCTTTCATTAGGATATATGTAGATATATATACACGCTCACACATTTACACACGCACACACAGAGAGAG